ACGTTTGTTCGTCTTGTGGTCGGCCTCATTGTTTCCTAGGGCGACGCGTTGGTGAACTTGTTTCAGCAAAGCGTTTATCAACATGCTGTAAGCACTGAGTCGTAATTGGTAATGATCAAATGGGATACTTTGGATAAACCAATGTTGGGGTATCGACCGGTGATGGCATAATACGTCGACATGCCAGTTGCTCTGTTCATTGACGATACAACAGTTTCGAGAACATCAGTCCATTCACAGTTCCTGTCATCGCAGAGTGCATAGAGAGCGTTCTTTAATGTGCGATGTTGTCGTTCGATGTTGCCGGAACTTTGTGTAAGCGAAGGACTTGAAGGTGCTGCGTATCTGATGTCATCTCGCAGAAATACTTATACAGTTCGCCTGTGAAGTGGGTGTCATCCGGTGGCGGATGAGGAACTGGTAGAGTCCACGAGCTGTGTCGATCGCACGGTCCCTGGCGCAGGAAATGGCTGTAAGACGTCGGCTAAAGCTGTCCAAAATTAAGATATAGCGTTTGCGCCCTGAGAGTTGCATCGTGACAAAGTCTGTGTATACGACCTCGAAAGGTCTTTTTGCCTCGTTTGCAATGTCCCCTGAGACAGTATGGACGCTTACCTTAATTCCCATTGCGTCCAATGCAGGTATTGCATGATTCAATCTATGCCGTAATGTTGTGGTTTTTGAACTCCCACCAATAGTTTGATAAGTGGGTGCGCATCCGATTGATACCAGAGTACTCGATGCAGTTATCGACGTTGGGGAGGTATATGTGTCGGAGCTTGTACGGTACATTGAGTTTGGATGTATTTTAGGAGTTTTTAGCTCCAAGAAGGATGCTCCCGGTTCTAGATAGAACTGTTATAGGTGTTTTTGATAGATCGCTGTCCGGTGGTCACTGGGATCAATCGTGATTGTGAGTGTAGATGCTTAACCAGAGGCAAAACCGCTTGTAGGGCTTTGACGATACTCGCCAGCATTTCGTAGGAAACTAGTTGCGATTTTAATGTGGTCGGATACTCTGTAGGCATGGTTGAGGTGGCGTGGTACGCAAAGAATGTGTCTGCAGCTTTTCTTTGAAAGTTGAGGTTCTGTAGCGTATGTGGCAAAAGGCGCAATTGTGTACCCCTGATTTCTTCGAGACTCAACAACGGGACATAGATATGAAGATCGGGGTCCTGAAGCCTGAATGTTTCCTCGTTTCGGTCGGATTAACAAGGAGCTTATTATGAAATGGTCAATTGATTTAAGAGTTTTGACTCTTTACAGAGAAATTAATTTAATAAAATTTCATGGTATTTTAATTTTTTTTTTTTTTTTGCATAAAGCATCTTCGAAACGTTAATAAAAGTCCATAAATTATTCGATAATAGCTGTCATCGCTTCTTCACTCATCGGCCATCCATTATCGCATCAAATAAGCTATGATAAGCAGGACCAATCATTAAATAAATGGTTGTATATTACTTTTTATGCTATTAGTAAGCAATATTTATTTCAAATCAAATTGATTTAACTTTAAATTTTCTAATTTTACTCAAATAACGTATCAGAAATATATATGTATTTTTTAAAGAATTTTAAAATCGATAAATGTTCTGTCTATATTTCTGATATGAGGACACATGGCACAGTGGATAATGGCGTTATTTAGAACCAGTTACAGAACCCAAAGAGTGTGAGTTCTATACCTGGTTAAGGCGGTGGAGAACTTTATGAGGGGAATTAACAGGAGATAACTGACATCCATTATACATGGCACGTGAAACTAGAACAGTCTACTCCAGTGAGCGAAATAAAGCGTTCAGTTCGACATTCCAACCACCTGAAGAAGGCCGGAGCGTGCAACGACCGAAACGTTGTGATAAACATGGCGACAAAGATGAGGACAATAGTCAATAATGTCGATAAATGTTTTTTACAAATTTCTTAAAATTAAGAAAATGGCCGCTTTTAAGAAAATTTTAAGAAATCGAAATTAAATTTGAAATTTCAATCTATATAATTTCTATCTGAAATACACCAGAATATTTTACTTACTGGAAATAATAAATTCATTCGTTTAGCTTTCAATTAAAGCAAAAATGAAATCTTGAATGTTTTTCCATTTTCAAAAATTTATTTTAAACTTTATGTATCGAAAATTTATGCCGAAATAGTGGATGTACCTAGAATAAATGACAATGAATCGAAAGATTGACGTTTAAAGTCGTGTTATTCATTGTAAAGCACTCAGAATGTGTTGAAAAACATTCCTAATTGGATCAAATGAAAGGTTCCGTTCGTTATGACAAAAACAAAGAAAAGACCAAACGGTAAAGGCACGAAAACGTTGTAATAAAGACAATAAAAATACTCAGAAGTAATCAATATATAATGGTTTACAAACAGAAGACCGGAAGTTACAGTGAAAGAAATGTTGTGAAAGAGAAAAGAAATTGTTAGATTTAACTAAAGTCACAACACTGCATCTGAGAACTTCCCACAGAAAGAAAGTTGATAGCAAGAGCAGTCATAAACGTTATTCCTAAAGACAAGATGACGAAAAGAATTTGAAAGAATTATTTCCTAATTCCGTAATTCATTCCCCTTGCTTTCTTGGCGTTCGTAAAAAAATGTATATGAAACGCATTTCTTTATTACAAATACAATTTCCATCTGTCGACCATATAATCTAAAGAAAAAACAGAAATTCATAGAGATAAATGGGTTTAGACGATTAGAAATACCTCTTGTAAAATAATCCCAAATCGATCGAATAAAAGGTTCCGTTCGATTTTGTAATATAAAAAGAAAATAATACGAATTTTCACTGGAGAAAAGTCATATAGAAATTGACTATTCTCTCGTTCGATGTAAACTTATAAGTCTCATTTCAAAGTGAAACTTGTGAGACTACAAACATAAAAAACAGAAAACAGAAAATGATGCTTCACGCATTTTTATAAAAGGAAATAAAATAGCATTGATGAAATTACCTCAACTTCCCGACATATTTTTTAATATTGAGTTTCCTCTCACGAATATTATAATTTTTTTATGTCGTCCTTTTATTTTTAGTCTTTTCCAAATTGCGCATTTTCTTTGTTCATGACGGTTACAGACAAAACATTCCTAGTCTCAAACAAATAGAAACGTGATGTTGGGACAAAGTACCATATTTTTTTTATCTTTAAACCAAGAAAGGTTTTAACAGTCAGATCCGCGCCACTATCGTTCTTATTACTTAGAGGAACAACTAATTTTCAAAATAAATCAAAACCATTAACGTGTATTATTATCATTAGAGAAAGGAGTAAGAAACAGTTACGACATCATATGACAAAAAAAAATGTTTGTATCTGTATGTAGATGCGTTGGAATATTCAATATACAGAAGATATTTTTGAATGTCATATATAAATGCTAATGTTATCATAAAAAATATCTTTATTATTGAGAATTTCATAATTCTAGTCGGAGTCCTATTGTCAGTTGTGCATATTTCATTTCGGGTTAGTCTTTTGGTCAGACAATCGAATGTTATTGAAAACGCGGTGTGGTTCACGCGGTTCGATTAGGCAGGATCAATTAGCATAATTGTTAAACAGCAAACACATTTTCTAATTATCGTAAATTAAGATAAACACAATCTGTTCAGCTTGAAAGAAATCCGCGGAATTTATACTGGTCAAATGGATGGACAGAATACCAAACAAATAGTAAACGTGAAAAATCTTTTTTTAGTTACATTCAGATAATGCTGGATTATAAAAACATAAATAGGAAATCTATTGACTACTCTTCTATTGTTCTCAACCCTTAATAATGTTTCTTTCTCTTCTTTCTTATTCTTCCACACTCAGTAACCCCTTGTGTCTTAGTGGCTTTACTGCCTTGCATTGAGTGAAATGATTAGAAAACAAATTTAAATGCAATGTCAATCCTTATCTACTGTCTTCTTGATTCCTCTTCTTCTATTGTTCTCGATCCTTAATAATGTTTCTTTTTTTTTCTTTCACACTCAGTAACCCCTTGTGTCGTAATGGCTTTACAGTCTTATTTGGGGTAATAAGATCAAATATGTAGATCAAGTTTTATTTAGATTAATACAAACGGATGTAATAAAAGTCGAACGTCTTCACTCTTTACCGGTCGATTGAAAACATTACAAGTGTCAATGGGAATAAAGGTTTAAAATGTTTGGTTCTGTTAAAAGCTGATCTGACTATGGAAGGTCAAACTTGTATTTCTTGCGACCTCGTTTTATTTTATATGCTTTCGTGAAGGCCATTCTTTTTTTATTATTATAATAAATTGTTTGGGTAGATTTTGTTTATTTTCGGCACACAAAAAAATTGTATAATTATTTCGTTGGTGAAACAAATTAATTAAATAAAAATAACGTTATTACAATAATATTCTTAAAATCCGGTTGAATTGTTTAAATCGAAAAAAAGCTTCAAACACATGTCACCGATTTTTCATTGGAGCCAGAAATATTTTGCTCGCTTAAAATGGATAGTCATAAAATATACAGAGAAATAATTGATTTTCTAAGCAAATGCTTCTTTGAAAATAATATTAATATGTAAGGATTTAAATATATTATTTGCATCAAATATAATTTATTTATCACATGCCTCATTTGATTAAATATATCTCATTTTTATTTTTCAGATGCTACTTGAACAAGTCTAGGAGCGTCTGTCTTCGTCCATTTTGGAAATTTTAGTTTCGTTGTGGAAAACGAAGGAAGACAGTCACACGCTCCTAAATCCGCTATGGGGACTTTATCATCACGCAACAACAGCCTCTCGGATTTGACACCTTCGATATTGGAAAATCTGGAATATATTCCAGGTAGCAATCTCACATCCAATCTATCTATCTTGCCCCCACCAGCTGAAGTGGATGAATTTAAATTAATAGATTATTATTTGACAGGTGTGGCTTCCATAGTGATAGTTGTTTTAGGACTCATTGGAAACATCCTCACCATTGTCGTTTTAACCAAAAGAACCATGCGCTCGTCAACAAATTGTTATCTGAGAGCTTTGGCTGTCTGGGACAGCGTCGTTCTCATAGTCACACTATTTCTTATTGGAATTCCTTCGGTATCAGAATCGTATGATGCAAACATAAAACCTTTTGTTGTCGTCTACATTTATCCAGCAGCACTTGTAGCTCAAACAGCCACAATTTGGTTGACAGTATCGTTCACTGTTGAACGATACATTGCTGTATGTCATCCGCTTCGGGCTGCCAGCATGTGCACGATAGCCCGAGCTCGAATAGTCATCTTGGCTGTATCTGTGTTCTCTTTCATTTACAACGCGTCACGCTGGTTTGAATACGAGATAGTCTATCAACTCGACCCAAACAACGAAACCTTGCAAGTCATGGGATCTATGACAGATATGGGTCGAAGCAAGGTCTACCACAAGGTTTACTTTTTATGTCTCTATCTTCCAATCATGTGTTTTATACCACTTACATCACTTGCCGTCATCAACATTTTCCTAATTCTGGCCGTAAAGCGATCGCAACGACAGCGACGAGACATGAACGTACGCCAGTCTCGCGAGAACAATGTCACCTTGATGCTGGTGTCAGTGGTCGTTGTGTTTATGATCTGCCAGGTGCCAGCCCTCATCTATAACATGGCTTACGCCATTGACACAAAGACCGTGGCTGAAAAGTACGCCTGGAGAATTGTGTCGATTCTCAGAAATTATCTGGTCACCTTGAACAGTGCCATAAATTTTATGTTGTACTGCGCATTTGGACAGAAATTTCGACGCATTTTTATACGGACATTCTGCCAATGTTTGCTTTCCGAAGAGGACTTCAGTTCACTTACATACCACGGTACAGTGATCAATCAACACTCGACTACAGGCAAATATTGTAAAATGCAAAAAGGCAACAGGACGACACCTGACGTCATCGACATGACATCATCTACCACAGCTGCGCATGCCAGCGTTCTTTCACGATACTCGTCGCATTCTTCGTTCGACGCCAACTCCTTGTTCCGCAAAAATTTGCTCAACAAATCTGGGAATGAGCATAGAGTCAAGACAGACGACAGAGAAGACATCTTTTGCGATAAAAATGGAATCGATGAGAAAGAGATTTTGAAAGACGATAAAGCAGAGATTATCGACTCAGATAAAAATGACGAATGAATAGACTTGATAAGAATTTGTATTTCTTAACTGGAACGTATGGACATATAAACTGAAACCCTTCCTGCAAAAATATAAAAAAAGAACATTGAAAGATTAACGAAAGGGAAACTATCCCACATCTCAGAAATTTCTAAATTATTTTCTGTCTGCCAGTAAATGTCTTTGTATTAATGATCGTTTCAATATTAATTGTGAAATTTAAACAAAGTAAAGCTTCGCAGTTGATATCTAAATATTTTTGTTTCTCATTTACTGGTTTTTTAAAACTTGCAGGACTAAAGTTTGAAATATCAGTGTATATGGATTTAGACTAGTTTCATTAATAATACGGTTTTCTCCATGATGATACAAAAGCACTAAATCATTATTTATTGCTAAAATATTCCCACTTTATTAATTTTGGGGTTTAGTCCGAAAGCAATATCAACCGAGCCAGTCAATTCTGCACTGGCTTCGGTTCTCGTTAAGTGTTCCATTTTTGTCGGGCGACGCTACCTTTGATATGATGGAAATACATATCATTTGTTTATCATCGAAAAATTGAAAGATTTGAAAAGAAATGTATACTTTCAGATGATGGATACAAGCTCCTTTACTAGGCGTTTGATATTTTTTCTTCCGAATCAAGGAGTGTATAATTTTTAGTGCTTTTCTTTTTGTTTCTGTTCTTGATTATGCAGTAGATATTAAAATTCTGTTATCTGTTTTTCAATGTCGGAATTAGATGTTTGCTCGTACAATCGAAATATAAAGTGACGAGTGAAATGAAGGTAGATTATACAGTAATAACTGAACAGAATACTTTTGACCCAATCTTTTGATAATTTTGAACAGCAAGAAATATCAATGTGGAGTTTGATTAGACTTCTGTTGCAACAAAAGAAGTCTGGACATTTTGACGTTGGACTACATAATTTTTACATAAACCCAGACTTGGTAGACATACAAACAGTAAAAGCAAATAAAACACCTTTGCTCAAATTGGAGTTGGATGATAAGATCATACTCCTGGAGATCGAAGAAAAAGGCTTGCATCTCAAGCACAGATATATTGAATTTGACTTGTGAAGAAAATATTTTGTTTAAAGTTGGGTTGGGTTAAAATTATGTCGAATTACAATACTTACCAAGCAAATGTAAGTTTCAATGTCCAACATATTTACACCTTTTTCAGTTCAATAGAAACTGATTTAAGTGTTAAGGATTTAACTATTGTTTGTAAGTCATATGTTGTCATTTAATATGATTTTCTCTTTTTTTCTCGTCTTATTAAATATAGAATTAAAATTTTAGAAACTTCAAGACATATTATTTATTAAGGAAACGTTTTCCAGATTTAGAGACGGATTTAATAAATGTAAAGATTAAATCTGCTCCCTTGGACTAATTTACTTCAGATTCCTTTTTCTCTCATTAATTTTCTTTATAATTCCTTTTTTTACCTTTTTGTTTTACTTACCCTATCCTATCCTGTTTGCATTCTGAAGAAAATTCAAATTCTACAAATTAATCTGCAAATTTTTTCCGTCCCACAGAATCACGGAGTTCTAAACTTGATTCCTATGATTCCTTCGGACAGGCATGTTGTAGCAGACGAAATAACAAAATAAAGGAATGAAAATAGTAAGCGAATATTTAAACACAGATACAGGTTCCACCAGGCAAAGACTCAGCCTTCACTGAAATATCGACCGACACATGACGTCAGCAACGGGAAAAACATGAATAATAATACTAAAAAAGTTAATAAAAATACATAATCTGAAAATGTCAGAAAGCAACAAAAATGAAATCAAATAATATATGAATAACGAAAATATTTCATATCAGACAATGCTAAGAAGGCCGGAGAATTTAATGGGAAATTTTCAGAAATTTGATTTTTTTTGTTTTGTTTTGTCTTTCTTTTATCAATTTTTGAGGCAATAAATATTAATATAAATGCGTGGAAATAAAATAAAGTCTGTTTTTCATATTTTAAAAATTAAAGTTTAATTTTTTTTTATTTACTTTAAGAAAAGTGTATCCAAACAAATTTACATTTTAAATACTGAAAAAGTGTTACAAATTTTAAAATTGTTTTCCTCTTCGAACTGCATTGCTGGATTTAATGGGTAAATCCATAAATCTTAAAAAGAATTCAAGGGGTGGGGAGAAAATATCTCATTTAAAATATGCAATCTTAGAACGAACCAGTTCCTGTCTGCAACGGGATCATGATTTAGTTTTAGATTCCTGATATCGTTCATCGTTTCGGATAACTTTTAGCCCCACGTGAAAGACAGATGTTAATGATTCTGTTCCTTGTGTGCCGGATGGCTTTCTTAGAAGCATTCATGCACACATTTGTGCTGTTTACCCAGGTGCAATTGTTGTGTAAGGAGGGATTAGGAAATTTAAAAGTCGCAACTGTGAACCTTCTTAAAAACCACCGTAGACCAATTACAACCTTTTCAAGGCATTTGTTGGAAGAGATCGTCATTAAAGTAATATATGTTTAGAGGAAGGCATAAGTACAGTTCCGATTACACACGAATCTATCAAGTCTAGAGAGAAACTAATTTTGATTCCCCTTGGACTTTTACCAAAGAATCGATTGCAACAATAAAACAATTCCAGCCGTTTTTAACATCAAATTCAATAGGAAATAAAAAATATATATTTTATGCCAAAGAATATCATGCAAAAATCCGAAAACTGAATGTGTTATTATGTATCTAGTGAAACCTGTGATTATAAGTAATCGCATCCCGAAATAACAACTGTTGTAGGCATTTATTTCTAACAACTCGTACGGGTCAATAAAACTTTTCAAGAGAAACGCAAAGTTTTAATGAACAGAAACAGCGTCATCCACCTTCATGGTAATGCAATAAGTCATAGATTAAATAAAAGCCAGGAGAAAATTAGGCTGATTTATTTCTGCCTTCATTCTTACAAGACTCTTCATATTAAAATTTGTTTGGATCTCGAGAACATTTTTGTAATAATCATCCATAAATGAGGAAGATGTCAATTCAGATTGCTCAATTTACTTTTTTTCTCAAAGAAAACACCATTTAAGCATCAATTAAATGTAAACTCTCTCGGTGACTGTAATTGCTAATGATGGCAATTATGCATTTGATGAATAACATTTCATTTACTTGTTTCTATCTCATTGGAAATTCTATATTTATTTCAAAAACACCTTACTTCTTATCTTTTAATAATCGTAACATAACAACTTAATGAAAGTAAAAAAAATGTAAAACCTATCATCTTATAAGATATTAAGATTTTACGTTTTACGTTAGACACAAACGTTTTCTATGAAGTTTACGTACCACTAAAAGAAATGTTTAGTTTAAAATCAGTTTTCATTCAATCTGTGGAGAAGAAATATTCACAAGATAAATATTTTCAAATAAAATATTAGATATAATAAGTTTCCAAAGCTAAACTTAAGAGTTTCAACTCTCTTGTGATTTCATCACAAAACCTTGATTCGGATCAGACGTGCTGAATAAACACACGTGAACAGGAAATGAAATATCATTCTAAAAGGATGTTGCATGCAATCGCTAGGAGAGAACGGATATCACGTGATCACAGAACAGACAGCTCATAAATAACAGTAATTATTATTATTATTAATAATAATAATAATAATAATAATAATAATAATAACAAATGCTTCAAGGCCGAAGCACTTATATCATCTTCTGTTGTCGTCTAAGCATCAGAGAAATATTCTGTCTCATGATTGGTCATTTTTCTGAATACACGCTAATTGAAACAGTTGAAGTACAAAGACCAGAATTTCAGAACATGTAACTTTTTCATATACGTTAGCGACGAAAGATTGCACACTAATGTAGACTTGAAGTTAAAATCAAGAAATAATCTATAATATAACCACAAAAGATATTTCGGTAATAGAATCAGTTGTCTCTAAAGTGTTTTTACTTGCGACTTTCACACAACTAAATTGTTTAACAAACAAGAAATGAATTATCATTTTTTATTGTTGTTGTTATTGCGTACTTTACAACTGATTAAATCTGCAACAAATTTTCGGGCGTTTGCCAATTTCGCATTGCGATTGTTCAGCTGTAATAAACGTAAAGACTGACTCTTCTGTCACTAAGCAACGAAAACAGTCAGCAAAATGTGACGTTTTATTTGTATGCAAATCTAATCATGACATTTGGTTGGCGGCATCTAGTTATTTACGAAGCAGCCATTCTGCAAGGTCTGAAAGCATACAAGTAATTCTTGTTTATTACTAATATCTTGTATCACAAAGTAAAAGATTTCCATCTCCGATGATTACTTTCTCAAGTATTTTCGATCGATTTTGCTACGTCGATCAGAACAAGAACAAGAGGAGAAAAATTTCAATAAACATCAAATAACTGTAGTTACTTTCTAAATTTAAATTGTATTGGCTTATTGTCATGAAGTTAATGTACATCACGTGACTATCGCAGATTTAATGTCGGACAAGTCAGACGACGCAATAACTTCATCAGACACATCCGATGAAAAAGTAGAAAGAGAATTTTTAGTTTTAAAGAATACAAAAGAATTTTACAAAACGCAGCAAAAAGTGAAGAAAGTAAGTATTAATATTCTTCATCCTGATGCCAAATATAAGTGCCATATTTAAATAAAGACGAATCACAACATCGCCTTTTCTCCGTTATTAATGAGAACCAATTCAAATGTGTGGAAAATTAAATTTTGCTATAATATTGATTGACAGTAATAAAGATTATTCAAAGTATAGTTGAACTTTTCTCTTTATAGAAGGGTAATTACAAAAACCTATGAATAATAACGGATATTTCTTATTTCAATGTCTTCTTTAATCAATATTTCTATGACAGATAAATGCACGGCTTACCTTTTGAGTCACTGGTCAATGTATAGGACAGATAAATTGTTATAAAATTAGTTGCATTCAGAAAAATATTGTTAAAATGCATCCACATGAATTCTAAAGAACCTTAATG